TAAAAATTTAAAGTAAATAAAAGATTGTTTTTCTTTCTCCTTCCTGGGCTCAGGGGGAAAAAACTAAAGGAGATTCTTTAATATAACCCATTTGCATTATTAACATAAACAAAGCCCTCTAGTGAAGTGAACTATGGAATTACAGATTATTCCAATGCATCAATATTTAGTCTTTTTTCAAATTCCACCTGGGGGGGGGGAAGAAAAGTATAGAACATATATACAATGAAGCTAACTCATAAGTTAGGGTTACACCTTTGGGTGTAAACAGGAAGGCTAAAATCAGCATGGATATTACTTGGCGGTCACAACTGGTTAGTGTCTGCAATTTTGGAACTGTTAACGTAGTAAGATAGAAGTATTTAAAGAATAGAACCCACCAAAGGTGCTTGTAGAAGGTCATGTGAGACCCCTCTCGCTTAGGCTGCTCAGAATCCTGCTGGATTTCTCTACTGGGTCCAAGTAAATAACAATAAGCTAAAATAATGGAGAGGCTTCTTTTTTGTTTGCCTTTGCCAAGCTAAAATGGAGCTTCTCCTTTTAACAGCAAGCTATGTTTAACAAAATATATGATAGCTTCCTACCACATTTATTCTAAATAAGATTGTTTTACATCTTCACCAGTTTAAGAGAGATTGTTCTCTATAGAAAGTAGAAATTTATCACAAGTTCAGCTGACTAATCTTACTTGCTTCAATACATTTTTACTACATTTATATATCTGAAATCAGGGAAGACTCCTGGGCCTGACAGATTTTAGTGGTTCAGTACGAAAAAGTATACTGGTAATTTATCTCCTATTTTATAGAGGTATATAGTGAAGCTTTTTCAAATAAATCCCTGCCTTATTGTTTTAATAAGCCAAACATCATAGTTACTCCTAAATGGAACAGGGATTCTACTCAGTGTTCTAGTTAGTAACCTATTTCGTTGATGAATGTGGAGTCTAAGATTGTAACAGTCACTTTAGCTCATACAGGATTGCAGCTTGTTTTTCTGACTATTGTGCCCCAAGATCAAACTGGATTTCTACAGGGCCACTGACTTTCTTTTTTTTTTCCAAATAATTTTATTAAGAATTACAAATAGAAAGAATAAGAACTAATATAAACTACAAAAAATGTAGAAATACAAAAGAAAAATACAAAAAAGAGAGAAAAAATGTAGAAAAGGAAAAGAAAAAGAAACAAAGAAGTAACTTCCCCCTTCATCCCACCCCAAAATACCATCTCTTAATACAGCATTCACCCCATAACCTATCTCTTAACTTAAAAAACACAATCCAAAAGCCTTGTCATTCATTCTTTGTCAGCAAAAGTCTAATAAGGGAAAACAGATATAACTAATTTTCTATTTTAACCTTGATCGAATAAGCCAATCCTGTATTCCTTCCCTGAATTTTTAACAATCTTAATTTTTAAACCCCTTCAAATATAACCCCAGAGCTTGTTTTCTGTTCATCTTTTTTTTGACTCAAGAATCTTTTAAAACTTTAACAGACCTCTTTTGTACATCCAGTAAGTAAAATTTGTCCTTTTTTAAATCACTTCTCATATAGTCCTTCAAGACTTTAACAGGCCTCTTTTGTAGATCCAGTAGGAAAAAGTTATCCAAATCGCTTTTGTGGTTTAATAATTGTACATCTCCTTTAGGCAGTGAAATATTCATCAGTTTAACTTGTGTATCCAGTACATCTTTCTCCATATCCTCCTCATTGCTTGATTCACTTAAGTCCACATTCAAATTAATTTTAAACTTACTCGTTGTACCTTGTTCTTCCACTGACACACAATCATATCAAGTAATCTTGAAGACCAATATTCAAAAACATCCATTAAGATTTTATGCTGCATTCTTTATTTCTTTTATTTTTTATATATATTTTTTATTTTTTACAACAAACA